TAAAAGATAATGCTTAAGCACCTTATGAATAGAACTATTCAAGAAACATTTTGTGATCTTGAAGAAGAGATTTATTAATCTGAGTTTAATCAAATCTTCTAACTTTATAGGTCTATCATAAAATATTGCACTAATAGTAAGCATAGAACAATAGTATTGTACTCACATCCCCATAGTCGTATTGCTCATCCGTCCAGAGGACAAGAGTGAGGAAGAACAGGACTGTTCTGACCACAGAGAGCTGAAGAACAGCAGCCATCATCCAGCCCACGCTGGTCCTAATGGAATACAAAAATTCAGATGCCCCTGTTATAATGAAACACACCAATTATTATAAATTTACTTCAAGTTAAAAATGTATGCAGGTGCATGTGAAGTACTTGTTGATGTTGAAGAGAGGAAGACAGCAGCAGCAACAGCAAGGGAAGGGGTTTGGAGACACCTGCTCCCCTGCTAACATTTCCAGCATGCGAGTCTTTCCACCAAAGAAGTCTTTGATAAGACCCATGAACTTCAAGAGTGTAATGGAGTGATAACTGCCAAGAAATACAAAACAATCCATACAGATAGGACTGGCCATTCGGATCTCTATGTGCAATTTGATTACAACAGTGGAAGTCAAAAGTCACTCACAGAGATGCAATGAAATTGCACAGAGATGAGGAGCGTGGAACATATAGCGCAATGATAGACGTCATCCCGAAGACCTGTCAAAGAAAGAAAATGTCACCAAAGGATAACTAAAGGAATGAAATGAATGGATTGAATGAGAAGGTACTACTTTACTGGATATATTCCCAGGATCCACAGGCTGAGACGTCTACGCCGCTGAGAGGGGACATGACGCAGAAAGAAGCCGATCTCCTCCATGAAGAGAGCAAGAAGAAGCACAGCAAACACAGCAGGAAGGAGGAACAGCCAGAGATCATTCTTGATCACTATAAGCAGAACAAACAAAACCAAACTCTTTAAAATAAAGCTTTGGGGCATTTTTACAGCAATGCAATATAAGAACCATTTTAGGTTCCCAAAATAATTTTTAAATTAACAGTTCTTACAAGAATCCTTTTTAGAAGAATATTTTAATAATCTAAAGAACCTATTTCCACCACAATAAAACGTTTAATACAATGGAAAGGTTCCATGGATGTTAAAAGTTCTTCATGGAGCCATCAATGCCAATATAGAACCTTTGTTGATGTGCTAAAAAGAGGCTCAAACAGACATAATTTCCAATCCTGGTTCCAATTCATGTATCTAAAATAATACATCTGGTCAAACTAGCCACATTTTAGACCACTTTTGAGGTAATAATCCTGAAAACAAGTGAAAATTAAGGTAAAAGTTTGGAAACAATGCTAGATGACTCAAATAGTGTGTGGATATTGTTGACTAATGAGCAGTTTCATCTGTGTTGTCTATTTTACTGCATATACAAATTGTACAGCATATAATCATCCATGTCTTACATTACAACATACTGTCATTCCTGTCATTATCCAGGGAAAATTACTGTCAGCATTGTCACAGGCTCCACAACCAGCACACAGCAGACATTGTTCGGCTTGATACATCTGCACCTTTCATCATGGTGTGTTAAATCTCTTACCGTTAAAAAACTCAGATGACAGAGGAATCCCACCTCCCATGAATGTGCAGTTGTCTGCTTTCCCCATTGTTCAGTGAAATCAGAAAAACACACGAAACACAAGAATTTCAATTAGGAGCCCTTAGATGTCAGGAACAAAATAAGTGAATACCCACTTATCTGTTATCAGTTTAGGCACAAACCCCAGTTGCTTAGATAAATAGGCAACTGTGTATAAAGAGTTATGACGAATCTATACCAAGGTGGCTTCCTATTGCCTAAGGGGTGTCTTTCTGAGCTCACTTATTAATGATTGACTTAAACACAGGTAGGGTGACAGGTAGAGGGCCAAGTCCATCCTGCACAGGTCTATACTATCTCAGACAACCTCTTCTTTTATGCTTGGAATACAGTACATGGGAAATGTGTAAACATTTCTAATACAGTTCTTTAAAAACTATTTGAAGGAATGATAAAATATGTAGCAAACCATTATCTGCCTATAAAAAGTGATTTTGCAATTTTATAATTTCCCAGTTATTGTTTGATGTTACTTGGCAGGGCGGTTCTAGGGTGAGTGGATATCCGGGGCTTAGCCCCAAGACATTAATGTATGTGTTTGAATACACAGGATACACTTCTAATAAAATAAACGTTACATTGGCTAAGTGGCTTAAGTTTTTTTAAGAGGCGTGTCTAGTATAATTAATTATAATTTGTAGGCCTACTTACAAACTGCATAAATAATATTATGAGATTAATGTTTTAAATATAAACTTTAGAATAGAATGCCTTTAAAATGAGACTAAAATTGCCAGCAGGTGGCAGTAAGCTCCTGTCTTAATGACTGATTCGCTGAGTCATTTATTCAGTCCATTTGTTCAAAACTGCTTCATTTAGGAACGAAGAAACTGTTTTTAAGATGCACAACATGACTTTGCGAAATAGAGCAAAAAGACAATATTTTCTCTACGATTTATGTCACTAAATATTATCTTTGTTTAATTTTGTTGCATTGGCATTAAAGTCTGCCACAGACCATGCTAAATGCTAACTAACTCTATGTGTGTGTGTCCTAGAAAGTCAGTGCATATCGGGTGAATTCGAGTAATCTAGGGTGACCATATATTCAGTCCATTTGTTCAAAACTGCTTCATTTAGGAACGAAGAAACTGTTTTTAAGATGCACAACATGACTTTGCGAAATAGAGCAAAAAGACAATATTTTCTCTACGATTTATGTCACTAAATATTATCTTTGTTTAATTTTGTTGCATTGGCATTAAAGTCTGCCACAGACCATGCTAAATGCTAACTAACTCTATGTGTGTGTGTCCTAGAAAGTCAGTGCATATCGGGTGAACACACACACACACGGGTGACCATACGTCCTCTTTTCCCCGGACATGTCCTCTTTTTGGACCTAAAAAATGCATCCGGCCAGGATTTCTAAATCGCCCAAAATGTCCTGAATTCGGCTTTTGCTTTCTACAGTTGCCATTCATTGTGTGCGTTTTTGTATTAAAGCCCTGCACGGGACTGTTTTCTTTATCCCGCTCAGAATTTCTGACCTGCTCCCGCAAACATTATAAAATTGAATATAATTTTCGCCCATCAGGGAGCCGCTATCAATTTGCGGAGAATTTAAATTACTTTGGATGCAGCTCGTGTTGGATGCAGGGTTGCCAAATCTGCATTTTTTTTGCACGGAATTGGGCTGATTTTAAACTGTTGTGGACGGTGGGTTGATTTTGTCCCGAGGGTTATAGGTTTGAAATATTGCATAAATTAAATTTGATTGAAATGCTTGTATTGAAACATTTTGCATTGTACCTACGATAAAACTGTGGTAGATGTTAAGTTTTGTGAAGGATGACCACTGCTAGGAAGCATTTTAGCTGTGTTTAGCTAAAGAACTTAGATGACAGTGATTTACTTCGATATCTATCTAACACATTAGATCAACACATTAGACTTTTCTGAAATCTTAAAGGCTGATATAGTTTGAGTCATTCGTTGGATTTAAAGTCAGAAAAGGAATCTGACACACAAATAAAAACAATACCGTAAGTAAACACAATACCGCATTTAACTTTGTGCACTGAACTTTTAGAAGTAATATTTAGAATAATATGTAAAAATATGTGTGTGTAAAACACAAAAGATAAAAAAGGTTTTATCGACCTGTAGTGCGTTTGACTGAGGGACTTTTATATTAAAATCAGTGATTGGAGGACGGGTTGGAGACGTATCCGGAAGTCGAGCGGCAGAAGGCAGGATTCCTTCAAATTGAGCATTTCCTAATAATAATAACCTATTTAGATCTAATAAATAAGCACGTGCTAGCAATTTAAGTAAAATGTATCGCTGCATCAAAGGGCTTAATCCTGCAATTTTGGAAGTGAAACATTTTTTACACAATAGCATGAACACAATTTAGGCTACTGAAAAGTTTTCTTCAGCAACAGGTACATCACATTTGATCACTAAATCTCCGAGGAGCGACGTGAGTTAAATTATAAATTGCTTTGAATTGTCTTAAATAGAGCTGTGGCGATCGGCAAATACACCGATGGAGCAGCAGAATGATGTGGAGGCGGCTCGAGAGAGGGAGTCAGATGCAGCAGATGCGATCGCGGAGCCGCCGTCCCTCTCGTTTCCAGAGGTGTTCCGCATGATTCAAGCAGGGGAGGAGGTTCCTGGACTCCAAAAGCTGGACATCAAACCTTGTCATGACCAGCCCACGGTTTCTCAAATGCCCAGAAAGTCAAAACCATGGGAAAAATGATTGCTTCCTAATTATAAAATGTGGACTGATTTACAACACATTTTGCTTGTTTGCAAAAGTCACAAATTAAGTACTTTTTTGCAGTATATGGTTTTAATACATAGCAAAAGCGGGATGCTGAATGTAAAATAAAGCATGAAACAAAAAAAAACGGCCTAACTTTCTCCGATTTTGCATCAAAAGCTGCCTGAAGATGGTGGTATTTGCAGCTCAACAGCTTTGGCCAGTAAAGACAAACCCAAAGCCTCTCATGACTGTCAAGTGGTTCCTCATGGTCTCATGTGCTTGTGAAAGGGAAATGCAAAAGGTTGACATACATCCTGCTTCAGAGCTTATTAGAGGAAGTGAACTTCACTCACAACTGGTCAACTAGCAGTCAAATTTACAGATCAGAAACTAGATATCAACAAAGCATACCTGACTGCTGTATGTTGTTTTTTTTTTAAACTACAGAATGAATGGATCAGAATAGCTTTCTCATGTTTGAATAAAATATCTTGGGTATGTTTAGTCACTGGCGAGTCAGAACTCAGTGGACTGCTTTATACAAACAAACTTTGAGAAGTACTTTATTTTTCATTCACAAAAATAATTTTGTTTTGATGGTCAATAAAAAAGCTGATAATTCAAGGTATAGAACTTCCCTGAATAAAAAGACATTCAAAAGTCAAAGTCCAAAATGATGGACCAAAGGCAAGTGCAGCACAACAGCAGGAATCAGCCAGTATGTACATTTGTGTGTCCAGCAGGGTAATTTTTTAAAAAACAGTCACCCCTGGATTGGTCAAAACTCCTCTGGTTCTCCCACCTCATCTTCTGGATTTACAAAACCTTCCTGTTGAAAGACAGAAAACCACAGAACTCAGCGGGCTGAAGACAGTTTAGTATGAGACTTGCTTTAAACACTGCGATATACACTTACATCTGTTGCATACAGGATATCCACAATCCTTTGCAGTGTAGGATCACCCTCACCCTCTTTCTCTTGGCAGATGAGCTCGATGTTTCTCAGTTTGTCAAAGTAGAAATCCCTTTCCTTTTCCATGTCAGCAATAGTGGCCTTCAGGTCATTTATCTGCCCAGATGAGCATAAAAAAAGAAATGACAACAAATTTTATATAATAATAATAATAATAATGATGATAATGATAGCAACAACAACAATAAATAACTACTAACTGGGTCAATATCACCATAGAGTGCCTTTCAACCCTCACAATACTCAAATTTTGGTTTTAATTTCCCATTCGCTTTATGTCATATCATAAATAGTAGACACTCAAGTACTATAGAAACATATTTGCTGAGCTCCCACACATTTTTTTTTTAGATAATTATGGGCCATTATTTGAAGCATAAACCATAACATGTCCACCCTATCATGGATATATTACTGTTAAATATGTTTTCATTGCAAAATTAAGATGCAAATTATATTTTCTGAAAGGTATGATGTCCCTTTTCTAAACAGGGTTATTAAAAAAAATAATATAATAATAATAAATAATATAATTACATCTTCAATCACACTGATATACCTCCCCCCCATTCATTTGAGTTTTAGCAATATTAAATGAATGCTATGTCCACCCTGTCATGTTTACGTCCACTCTATCGAGTCTAAGTGGCCAACAGGGTGGACATTTTGGAACAACGTTGCAATATAACAAAGAGTGAAAAATTGAAGGGGGTCTGAATACTTTCCGTACCCACTGTATATTACTGTTAAATATGTTTTCATTGCAAAATTAAGATGCAAATTATATTTTCTGAAAGGTATGATGTCCCTTTTCTAAACAGGGTTATTAAAAAAAATAATATAATAATAATAAATAATATAATTACATCTTCAATCACACTGATATACCTCCCCCCCATTCATTTGAGTTTTAGCAATATTAAATGAATGCTATGTCCACCCTGTCATGTTTACGTCCACTCTATCGAGTCTAAGTGGCCAACAGGGTGGACATTTTGGAACAACGTCAGGGATTTTATATAATATGAAATTGAATATAATTTAAAAAACAACTATGCAAAAAAATTTAATTGTAAAATGTAAATGCATTTATCTTTCTCATGTACTGTTTTTTGTAAAGTCTTACCATCTGAGTGAGTGCTCCCTTCTCTTCATCACCGCCGCCTGTTGCTGTGCCTCGTGTTGCAGCTGGAGCTGTTTTTGGTGCAGATTTAGGTGTTGTGGCTGAACGCTGTGGAGCTGAACATCAAGAACACATCCATCACCTTGTTATACATACTCATCAACCTGCCTCGAGGATAAGGGTCAATTCTAGCCTCAAATGACCAATTGAATAAATTATTAAAAGGTTTTATTTCATATATTGAAGCTGAAATTAAAAAAAAGAAAGAAACGTAAAGAAAAATTATAGTTGTTTTAGAATAATTCCACCAACAAATGCCATAGACCCAAATGAGAACTGCATGACTGTTCTTTTAAAATGTGCAGTACTTGGAAATGTAGGAATCACCATAATGTGAGGAAAAATACCCAGGTGAAGCAACCTTGTAGACAATGTGCTTGAACTAAAACTCGCAGTTCTCAATATCTTACCAACAGGGGCCATTGGCTTGACTGCAGGTGTGATGCCTGTGTCTGAAGCGAACAGAAATCCATGCACAAGCATTGTAAGGCTCCAGTCATTCTCACACATGTAAAAGCAGCTAAAGCATGTAGGACTGGCCCACTGGTGCGTGACTGGGTCACACCCACATATTTTGGCCTCAAAATCCATAACAGCTGCAGCTGTCATGCACCTGTTAGCATTAGGACAGCTAGCTTCCGACAATAACGCTAGTCTCTATATGAACTAGGAATATATGAACCAAAAAACACTGATAAGTTGATAATTTATTAAAATTCACTGAATATTTAACATTCATTGAATATTAGTTGTACATTTATGTGTGCTATTTTAACCATTAGGATAAGCCTAAAAAAGGCTGAAATGGTACTGAGAACTTCCTGTTTGGTCTTTCTCCTTACCTGAGCTGGGTTTCTTTGGTTTGTTAGCTGTAGCTGCTGCTGGACTCTGATTGGTGGGCATTTCTTGTCCCTGTCGAGCTGCCACCGGATCATATTCTTTCTCACTAAAGGGGATGGCCTTTTCTTAAAGGGGCGGATTCCCCAATAGTGGACAATCATTCAAGGGACATGGACAAACTCTTCTTTTTTATCAAATAAAAATATAGTTTTTAGTACCAAATGATCAATACACTCAAATTGAGTAATCTCTTATTTAACAAAATATTACAAGGAGATTTTTTTTAATTTATTTTATGATTTGACAATATTCTACTATCATTCAAATTGAATGAGCAGTGCATGGGACATAGCAAAACAACACGCATCCTCTTACACAAAACAAAAAAAAAAATCAAGAAAATGTATCTAAAGAGCCAAGTAATGCTTTTATGATGAATAAAAAAAACTTAGCTTAATATAACACCCTTTCATAGTCATTTTTATGTTAAGTTATCATGGCAAACGAGTACAGGACACCAAAAGGCACCCTACAGTGATATTGACCCAACTATCATTACCAAAGTTATCCTGGAACTTGCCCTTCACAAGCTTGTCAACAGGAATAATCTGCACAGAGACGTAAAATGTTACAAAGTAGTTCCACTTCACATATTGTACATTATGAATATATTTTGTGAAGCAAAATGGAACGCATAATTTGTATGCTAATGAATTTAACTGGTTGACATACTTTGCTAACTCCCATCTTTTTGAAGCTGGCTTGAAGGAGTTTGAAGTTATGGATGTATTCGTGCTCAAGTTTGGCCTGGAATTTGACTTTCTTCAGTGGAATACATGATGGGAACAGCATGTCCATGAACTGACAGTAAGCAGCACCTTAAAACACATTATTAAAGACATAGTCAGTAAATAATATAAAATATTTCAGAATTAAAAGAGAAAAAGGCCATGCAGGTCCCAACCCAAACAAAAGCCCCTTTCATCCCCCTGCACTGTACTATCTTTATCCATTCCCTCACAAACTGCTGACTCAGACAGCGACAAATTCAGCATGCAAATGAAAAAGTACAAAAAAAAAGTCAATCTATGACCCATTATTATTATTATTATATGTAATCTTTATGGTCAAAATGCAAACTAGGCGTTACGTCTATCTCACGTAACTCTGTCAGTAACTTAATGATGCTCAAGTTGGGTGTGTGAAATGAAAGGACCAGACAGCTGGTCTCTGACCGGAGCACAGTTGCTCGATCTTGGCATGGCTCATCTGTAAAGACTCGTTTATCCATGTGAGCATGTCATGGCGGCTGAGGTTTTCACTTGTCACTGAAGTCGAGTACACGTTCACAGCAGCCATGGCTGGGACAAAACCGATGATTTGAAGCTGATGGTAACACTTTTCCGCTGAAGCTGCTGGACAGAGAGTTTGTGGGAAAAGAGTTAAAGCCTCATTTCCTTAAACACACATTCACACCCTTCAGCCCAGCTACATCATCATCTACTTCCTATTTAATCAGTCACTTTAATGTGGCTGTACATTTACATCCATCTTAGAGTTTAAGGTCAAAATCGAGTACATTACTTACGGGATAAAAATCTGGTCTTTATTTGAAAAAGCTTGTTTCTTGTTAACTTTTTAGGCTTCCGATTTAACGCTCCGCTCAACTAACGTTAATCTGTCAGAATTTTTAATAGGGTAACGTTATTCATATAAACAGTTTATGCTCTACGTTATGCTTACGTTTTAACAGTTGTCTTTTTAACTGCTGAACATTTAAATCATAACATTAGATGACATTTATCGTCCAAATGACCAAAACTATCAATAAAGTATTGATTTTCTGTAAAGTAAAGTGTTTCTGTTGTGCGTGTCACAGATCAAATCAACGCCTTTCTCTTACATTTGGTTCTGGATGTGAGTGAACTGGGCTGCAGTTCACCGGCGTGTCGTTCGTAAAGTGCCGCTTCTGCAGCAGGCTGACCTGGGAAAGCGCTGTAAGCCTGAAACCACAGCAGACGCTTACTAACTAATCACAGATGTCAAAATAAAAGTCAGCATTCGCCTATAGGAAATAAACATTTTGCTAACTACTTCCATTTGTCAAAATAAAAGTACTAATCAACAAAATAAAAGTCACCATTAAACGCATAAAACCAAAAACTAAAGTTGAAAGAAATAAACCGTTTTGGTAAATGTAATAACATAAAAATACAATGAAAAAAAAAAACATTTATGGTATGTAGGCTGTATTTACTCATCTAAATCACTCACACACGTGTGTATGTATAATGTACATGTTATTTTCCATTTCCTGTTGGTTATGCTTCTATCATTGAGGTACCTATTCTATTACCTTATCTCATCTATTAAATATTATTTTTTATTGAACTAAATTTTAATGGATTTGAGTAATTCATCTCACGCTTCTTAGCACATTACTAAACCAGCGATAAAAAAAAAGTAAGATATTAAGTCAAAGCAAGCATTAATCTGACACACTGGTCTGAAGGACTGAATGTTTAGTTTTGTGGGTTGATAAAACACTTAAATTAACATATTAATTGAAAAAAAGACATAAAACAAGGTTGGTGCAATTTATTTTTCTTTACTGATGTTAGTACAAGCATGGAATATTAAAGCTAGGTAAGCAGACTATATCAAATATCAAAAGATTAAAACAAAACCAGTCTTGTCAATCATCAGTTCAGGGAAAACATTCTAGATCTACATACATCATTAGCATATCATTTAGCACCAAAACACATCAGGGTTTTGAATGACCCATTCAACAAGAAAAAAAAAAAAAGAGGTATTAAGGGCAATTTCAAGGGTACAAATATATAGTATATTCTCTTCACAAAGAATTGAATAAAAATAATCAAGTGTGACATTAAAGATCACGGTCCTATGAGGCCTGCTGGTGTTGAAAAGACCTGAGGAAGTTATTCTTTATAACACGATACTGCACCTCCAAATTACACATGAACCATCATTTTACAAAACTCACATGTAACACAGCACCAACACAGTTCTTACAGGGAATTTCTAAAGCTTTGCTACAAGACATAGACATCCAAAAGGCATCAAGACATGTAATCCAGTTAATGATATTTCACCAAAGCACACACACTCCTCAAGCTGGCCCATGCCTCACTAAAACTGGTTTAATCAAGCTTAGTTTGAGTAAGTTGGTATCAAGTTTTAGAAAACTACCCAAAGCTGAAGATCAGCTTTGATTTGGGTGACCATGTCCTCTTTTTCCCCCAGACGTGTCCTGGATGGGATTTCTAAATGACCTAAAATGGATTTGTTTTCCTATTGTTTTTATACTTGAATGTAATGACTGAAAAGAAATCTGACCGATAGCATGCAGGTATAGTATATAATCGATTGATAGAAATCCATGCCAGAATATGTCCGGGAAAAAGAGGATGTATGGTCACACTAGCTTTGACCTGTGACAGTCCGAACCACAAATCACCATGATCCACATAATGCTACAAAAAGACACATGCTAAACAACTACAAAGAAAACGCATAGTATTTATACACATTCTGAAGCACCTAATTTCACACTGACAGTAGACCACAACTGATAACGAAATGTAATCGGAGACATTTCAAAGGTAAGATATCATTTAGACACTTGCACTAGACAAAGTAGCCAAAATTATTCCCTTTAAAGTAGTCTGAAGTCATGCCAATTACAATCAGTTCACAATTTTTTCTACATAAAAAAATAGCCTATCAGTTTGTAGGCACTTATTCAGTTTAAGCCCTTGATCACATTGCATCATGTTCTACAAAAAGGCTTCAGTTAACCCTCACTTAGATATTGTAGTATGCTAAATCCTCACCAAAAACAACACAAATTAATGCTGCAGTGACCAGTTTCAGCCAACAGTTTAAAATCGGAAGTGCATACATGTAACAAATGGGGCAAAATTAAAAACGAAATACTTAATCCTAAGGGTTGATGACCTGTTTCTTGTAAAATGATGATAGTGTGGACTAAAATGCTAGCTCAAGGCAAAAAATTGTCTTAAAACTGCAGTGTTGCTCTGCAAATTGATTAAAAATGATAAAGATTACAACTTAAAAAAGTATATGGTAAAGCTTTGGAAGGCTACTGTCAACTCAAATCTATCATCAGCCCAAGGCTTTGAGTAAAATTTAATGGCACAGACAACATTTGTGCTTCTAAATACATGGAGCACTACAAGATTGCATGTATTCCTATAAATAAAACGCAGTTTAACTGAAACCCAAGTCATCTATATTAGCATTCATTTCAGTTAAATAGATGCTCCTAAAAAATGCTGACTTAGTGCAGTTGTCATGATGGCCAAACATCCTGTATTATAAAACGTGCCGTGGAATGACAACATTACCATCATTTAAAAAATTCTGAAATGCAATATTTAACAACAGGACATGTTTATTCCTAAAACACGGAAAAGATTTAATGTAAAAATGTGATATAAAAAGCTGACATAAGTTTAAAACTGATAAACTAAACCAAACTAATATTAACTCATTTATTAAATTATAAATAGGCATAAAGCGGCATTCCTCCAGACAATGAACAAATCACAGAATGGCACTGAGGTAGTGGGTGGAGTATCGTGTGGCTCTCTCCAGCATTAAAATCAGTTTAAAAGTACACAAGTTAAAAATGACAGTACTTAAGAAAATCCAATCCAAAAGTGGCTGTGCATTCCAAGGATAAATCATCAGGATAACATGCTTTCTGAACTTAAGAACAAATGCAACATTAAAATTTGACAATTTTCTGTGAGGTCAGAATCTGCAGGGAAAAAAAATAAAAAATAAATCAAATTCATTTATCTGAGAGACTTAATTTGGACCTCCAGTGCCAGTGCTGCCTGGACCAGACGGTGGCTTTACTCGCAAGCAAAGTAATCCTTCAGAGGGGCAAAGAGGTGTCGGATCACGGGAACGCTCCAGGACCGCCCAAGCACCTTCTGCCTCTGTCCTCGCCCCATATTATTCACATCTGTGTAATGCTTTGGAAACCCAAATATTCTGAAAAAATAAATAAATAAATAAAAATAAAATGTCAGTAATTTTGTTTAGAGCCACATTATGCCACTTTTTAAACAAACCCACTGAATTACTACATGCAAAGTGCAGACCTGATATAGCAAAACTGAGTAAAATTTAGTTAATATAAATATATCTTGCTCCTGCTCAGGACCAGCTTAAACCAGCTCAAACCAGCAGCCATGCTTCAAAACATACCTAACCAGGATATGCTGGGTTTTTTTTTTTTCAACAGGGTTCTTACAAATATGAGAAAGACTGTATATAAAATAGCAATGTTTAGCCATTAAATCTAGTTAACTGTTAAAATCTGTTTACTACTTGAAGAATGTCTGTGAAGTAAATTTATATTTCTTGCGAAAAAGCTCAATACGTACATGTTTCCTTGTGATGGTGCGCACATCTTTCACATATTCAATCTGGCCCTCATGTTTGATCATCCCAACAGCAATGGAGTCTTCACAGATCTCAGAGGCAATGTAGCGCTCCACCTTAAAGCCCAAGTCTTTTAAGACCAGATAGCCTAAAAAAAAAAAAAAAAAAAAAAAAAAAAAGTATGTATGGAAGTATGGGGGAAAAAAACAAAAATCACCCTGGTATAATTCACTGCTATTGCACAAACTTCAAGGTAAATGAAGACAAAAATAATAAATGCCATTGTTTCAGTATTTCCTTTGATTCAAACTGATTTAAATGAATAGTTCTGCCAAAAATTTAAATTCTCTTAATATTTACGCCCCCTCATCTTGTTCCACACCTGTATGACTTACGTTATTTTGGGGAACACAAAAATTAATTATTGAAAACTATCCTGATTCCTGACATCATGAAACATAAAAAGAAAAAAATTTGGGGGGGGTGTTGGAAATATTCCCGTAATATTCAATCAAAACAAATGAGCATACCTGTTGCAATCCCATCAAACAGGGAGAGGACTCTGATTGGACGACGCTTATGAGCTGGAATAGAAGGATACACTCGGTGTGGCTCCTAAAATAAGGACAGTGTTCTTCATATTAAAACATCACTCTGGTTTTTCGATACTTGCGTAATCAGCATCTTATAATGATTTTTGAAGCATTATGTGACACAGCTAACTGGAGTAATTGCTGATGAAAATACAGCTTTGACAAAGGAATACAAACCGAATACATTCAATATTAAAACAGAAATATATCCAAACATAAAACGGTTATTTAAAAATGCAATAGCATTACTTAACAATAATATTGTTTTTATTGTATTTATAAGTAAATAAATGCAGACTTGATCAGCAGAAGAGTCGTCTTTCATAAATTTAAAAAAAAAAGTCCCATAAAAACCCAAACTTTTAAATGGTAGTGTATATTTAAAAAAAATCTGAATATGACCAGGTAGATATCTAACACAAGGAGTATAAGAATGACACTCACAAATTCAAAGGCACTGTTATTGGCGAAATACTCCTGGACACGAACACTCCAGTCAGGCCTGAGCTTGAGCACGCCGTAGCACTTAGAGGGCAGGCAAATGTAACAGCTCCATGGGTCAACCTCCTTCAGCTTATCAAACGTCGCTGGTCCCACCAGCATATTCAAACAGTCTTTACAGAAACACCTAAACAGTGGGAAAAAAGAAAGACTGTAAAACAACCTGTTATGATAGTTAAAATCACATTAAGGTTTAAGTTTGCATAAGTTTGAGTTCAAACCTGCAGCAGCTGGCATTTCCACAGAGAATGACCTCTTGTCCGGCGCAGCACACGGTGCAGTATGACTGATAGCCATCATCATCATACCTGTACAGTGTTTCTGTAAAGTTCTCCTACACAAATACAAAACATGCACATTAAAAACAATTACACTCTGGCCACCAAATAGTAAGTAGCATATTAATTTTATGATTTAAGACACAAGAATCAATTCACACCTTGCACTTAGAACAAAGGCTTCCCACAAAAAGAGGATGGACAATTTCAATGTTGGCAGTTCCACAGGACAGGCAGAAATCTGGGGAAAGAGAATAATTACCTTGTAATTAATTAAAATACATGACTGAGCAATGAGAATGTCCTTAAGGCAAAAATAAGTTGCTAAAAGTAAAATGATCGAATGAAAGGTGTGATTTCATGTGGTGACAATGAATCTACATGCCCTTTCCTATTTTTTTTTTCTACATTATCATTTTATTTAAAAATTATTTAAATATTTCAGAGCCAAGCATAACCATATTTCCACAATTTTACTATGACCTTTTATAAATTTCCTTAATTTTTCCAGTCTGGGACTTTCAGGCCACAATTTTAACATTTCCTAATATCTTCAGGTTTTCTGATTGGCCCAGCAGGGAAAAAAACAGGAATTTCAATTATTGTTAAGCCCTACAATAATTTCATTAAGCTCAAATTATGAATTTTAAGTGACTTACCTTCAATGTTTCTGCCTTTAACGGTTACCTCATAGACCATTTGATCTGAAAAGAGGACAACAAAACATAGGGGTATGTTTTCTTACAAAAAATATGTAAAAACCTAAAACAATAATCTACAGTTCAGTGTTTTATGATCATTATGGCAAATCTCTGGCCTTTACGCAGATTAATGTATCTCACCTCTGGTGTAATCCTGAGCTGACTGTCTGTTCTTGTTGACATACTTCCTCTTGGCTGGAGGCTGATAATCACACACTGAAGAATCCGACTCAGTTTTACTAGTAGAGCTGTCTGTGAAATGGAAAAGCAGAGGGCACTGTTGTTAATCAGTCCAGATCAAGATTTTATTTATTAAAGAGCTTTTGCTATTTTTGACATGTCTGTGTATAGACCTAATTTCCGGATCAATGTGGAGTCACTCTGGTACTCTCTGTTATTATGAACTTCAAAATTGCTGTCATTCACCGTTTTTTTAAATTACAGATATTTTTTAGTTTTTTGACATACCCACAGGAGGCAAAAATCCATCAGGACCCATGGGCTGGAAGCCTCCAAATGCCCAATCCAGCATGGCTTTTGCCTCTTCCCCTTTCTTCTCCAAAGGAGGGAAATTCTTCCCACAACGCTCTGCTGCCAACTACACAATGACACAACAATATAATGCAATATTAAAATAAGAATAAAATAAGAACTGGTCCTTGATTCCCAACCCTAGTTTTCATAAGAACGGTCAAGTATCTTATCCACTGTACCTCTAGGATTTGGTAGATGGCATTCCTGTAGGTAGGCAGACCTTCATAGGATTTACTACAAAAGCACTTTGCAAACGCAGCGAAGGGCATCAGTCCCTCTGTATGAATCTAAGATCAACAAGAGAAACATGCTTTAACATGAAACGGGTCCTTTGAAGAATAAGGGGGAAAGTATCTCTCAGATGAGAATCAGGACAAAGAAAGCAAGTAAAAACTCCTAACCTCTGAAAACATGCCATCTCCAAACCACTCCACGCGCCTCATAGACACAGGAAGCGCCCTGCCCTTCCACACCACCACCAGTCCAGGCCACCAAGAGAAGCCCTTTACTTTTCCCCACACAAGCTCTCCAATGGCATAACCTTTTCCATCCTGCAGAGAGAGACAGGCAGTCAATACTAACTGCTACATTCATAACATGGATGTCTTGGATGTCCTAGATTAGTGAGAAACAAACAAACATACACAAACGGTCAGGTTTGCAGTGAGATTAAAGAGGTTTAGAAACCTCCAAGACTTACGTGGTACGCTTGTTCTCGCTTTCCAGATCTGGGGCTTGGTGTCGAATTTGATGCAGATGAACGAGCATTGTTCTTAACCTACATTAGTGAGAAACAAACATACACAAAGAAAGAATACAAAATCTAAAGTGAATGCTTTTGAATTAAACAGTAAACATTTCATGTGGGAAGCACACACACATAAAACCCAATTTTAATGAAGTCTCCTGCTGATCTGTCTTTGCTAGCTTTCACAATGCTAACTACTGAGAAAGTCTTGTTGAAGCTTAAAGTGACTAACTTTAATCATTTGTAAATATTACCACAAAAAGGTGTATTATTTATTTATTTTTTTACACAAGCATTTTTATCATGTATGTTAGTGTATCAGTACAACATGCATGACACGGCAAACAATAAATCTTTATTTATTTGTAAAGCACTTATCACAATACATATTGCTCTAAAGCAGCATAATAAAAAAAAACACCATGGAGAAGCAGATGCAGAACGTTAGCAATGCAATTACAGAGGAAAAACAGACATGGACACATAGCTACAGGTGGAACATCAGATGAAAATGAAGACTCTAAAGAGTAATCTACCATCCGGAAAAGAAACCACAGGACTCATGCACACATTCATAAAGCGGCATCCATCGCTTATGAAAACAGCTCAATGTAATACAGAGAGCGTGAAAAGGACAAAACTGAGGCAGACCCTCTACACCTGCGATAAGCCAGACAGAGCACTGAATCTTGACCTGGGCAGGTACATACCACCTCTGGTTTGCTGTCCTTGTCTGGGTTCACCGGTTTGCTCCAGGTGCCTGTACCAGCCTGAAAGACTGTACGTTCCTGTGGTTTCTGCCGTAAGCTGCTCTCCCAACCATAAATTCCCCTAACGGAGCCCTATAGACCCATACATATGCACACAAATTACACACGTACGCAGTCACTCAGGTCACATGACTCCTACATTGAAGTAATCAGTATCAGGGTGCCAAATTGCAGATATGTAGAAAAGGAAAGAAAGATGTTAAATCAAGAGAGGTTAGTGTGATGATATGGTTGGTTTGTCTCTGTGTGTATGTGTCAGTGATTTTTTTCCTGTGATAACTATTTGATCTAATCAGCCTTAGTTTGCATCATCATCTCAATACAATGTGAAATAGTTTTCAGCAAAAGTATTCATTGCCAAAATCCTGACCTTATAATTAGTTAGACTGATATGTTGACCAGGCCAGATTATAAGTATTGCCAATAACCATTTGTTACTTTTATTCAGCAAGGGCACATCAAATAGACCAAAAATGAAGAATTGTTACAAAAGATTTCTATTTGAAATAAGTTATGTTATTTTAGGCTTTCTATCAAAGAATCCTGAAAAAAATTGTATCACAAAAATATAGAGCAGCACAACCGTTTTTCACTATTAATAATAATAATAAGAAATGTTTCTTTAGCACTAAATCAGCATATTAGAATGATATATATATATATTTATTAAGGGGGTCATATGATGCGATTTCAATTTTTCCTTTCTCTTTGGAGTGTTACAAGCTCTTGGTGCATAAAGAAGATCTGTAAAGTTGCAAAGACTAAAGTCTCAAATCCAAAGAGATATTCTTTATAAAAGTTAAGAGTCAACTACGCCTACCTAAAACTGCTCGTTTTAACACGCCCCCACGTCACGATGTGGGAAGATTTGCATAACGCCGCCCAAATGTTCACGCAAAGAAAGAAGGTGTAACTTTGATTCTCGCTGTAGTTTTGTTGCTGCATGTCATCAATGACAACGCCATGTCGTGGAGACGCTGTGTGTTTCGTTGTGAAAGAGAAACTACTTTGTTTGGCCTTCCAAAAGAGGACACAACTAGAAATCAGTGGTTAAGTTGTATTTACAACACTGATCCGGAACAGTTCAACCCAAATATTCAGATGTGTGCAGCGCATTTTATGGAGGACGAGGACTGTTTACTGGGAGAGTATAGCCTACAGTGCCGGTGTCTGTTTCTATAAAGTGGGGCAATTCCAACTTTGCAAGGACAGTCTGGCGCTTCTGACTCACAGCCTGTAAGTATGTTTTCATATTTAAAGAATTTGCCACTGACGATTCAAACGCGAGTTTTGAGCAGTGTAGAGTAGCGCTTGTTGTTTGTCGTTTCTCCGATCACAAATGCAGACATGGTTTTAGGTTTACGCGGCGCGATATACTGTCTTTTTACGTGTTGTGTAAGTCATTATAATCCGTAATTATGTCCCCACTGAATGCAACAAATGCCTCATTTATAATGGGTTTTACTGGTTTTGTCTCGTCGCGCCGGGACACAGCATCACAATATGGTAAGGGGTGTAACATTTCCGTCACTCGCTTGAGGTATTCGGCCAATCATAACGCACTGGATAGCTGGCCAATCAGAGCACACCTCGCTTTTCAGACCAATGAGATTTGTAAAAATCGACGCGCTTCAAGGCGGGGCATAGAGGACAAACAATAATGTACATTATGTGGAAAATAATGTGTTTTTTTAACCTTAAACCGCATAAACGCAGTGCATTACACCAAATACACAAAATAATGTTCTTTTTAGCAACGTCTTATGACCCCTTTAAATTAAACACTGAATACACTGAAATATATATATGGTTGTATTAGTATATAAGCATTTTTATTGGCATTTTCTCAATAAAACTATCTATTGACAAACAGGAATGACTTCCTTGGTTAAAAACAAATCTAAAAACATTGAATTTTTTTTTTCTTGGCCACAGTTGTTTTCCAGCTTTTATTACCTCGTGTATCGTACTACTAGTCCAGATATCATCATCGGCTCCATCTCTCCTTAAATCCATTTCTGTAGAAAAATAACATGTTTTAAATAGCTAAATTGAACAATCAAATATGAATTTATCTATTTTGAGGTGTATAAACAGAGCACAGATAGCAACATTTAACATTACTTTGAGCCCAGACAAACAGAGCATTTACATTAGTAATTTTTAATGCAATGGATCAACTTTCTTGAGCATTTAGGGTGGAAGCAAAGGAAGAAAGTTCAGACCAACAGACATTTGCCACCAGAAGCGACTGAGATCATAAAGCATTATTCTGAAGCTGCTCTAGAACCTCTTAAACCCATTTTAAGCATTTCATTCACACCTCTCTGACTGGTGATCTTCTCCAGTCGCACCACACACGGCTTCACTGTGTCTGAGTGTTGAACCATCTCTGGAAAACAGCACATTGTTTACATCAATCTAACCAGCCTCTGCTGGATCCGACTGGATAGAACTTAATCTGCACTATACAGCTATCCAAAAAAATGAATATAGATTACAATTTGATCATTTTATTGTTCTTACTATGTAAAGTACATGACAGCACTTTAATTAAATTAATCCATGACAATTAATTGGGAAAGTAATATAGTATTATGAGGAGAACCCTTTAGCACCCATGTTAATAACATGCAAGCCAGAAGAAGATGTTTCTACATCTTCATGCGCTTTAATCCAGATATTAGTCTTGCAGAGCTAGACATCTGGCAGTCGGTATCACTTTACAGCTTTTTCTGGCAAAGAACCACCCACATAGGCACTTTGCATAAGCAATATATCAAATCATCAATACACCCAGAAATTATGAAAATATTGAAGCCTCTTATGGTCTTGGTAGTGACCAATGAGCTGCTTCTCACAATGAAAAAAGGGAAAGCCATTGTCAGCCTGCTCTGACATGATCTGATCTGATCCAAACATTTTCCTTTGAATATCTTTGAAACTGAATGTAATTAACCTTGCAAAGCCCAATAATTAGTCAAAGTTTTTAGTTCTTCCTCACAAGTGCTCATCGTAGCAGCCCTTTCCTTGAAAGCACAATTTGGTGTTCAGATGGACAAATAAAAAACCTGTGCGCCCTAAATTCCACAAGTTACATGTTTATTAGAGGGTCTGTGAGCATTTTCTGCTGTGTAGGTTGATGTTTTTTTTCAGGTTTGCTATTGTTGGAGGCTGAGGATATATGTCATTGTCAATGTGAATCATTTTGGTGCAAATATTTTACCAGTGATTGCTGCTGCCATTTTCAATAAAAAAAAAAAAGCAAGCAGGCCTTTAGGATAACTTACCTGATGTGCTACCTCTGTTTTTTTTCATTTGCCCATTTCTGATAGGTGAAATCTTGACTTCAGTGTGGTCTAGAGAAGAGTCATCATTGGAATCCAGCTCTTTTGTCAAATCTGTGTCACTTTCCTCTGAACTATCATGCCAATGAGCAACATCTCCATTTTCAACAGCCTGCGAGCAAGTAAACCCATTTTAAACATGACAATATTAAATAAGATAGAATGATAGATAGATAGCATGTACTTTATACCTGTGCAAAGATCTTTTCTGCTTCAAGAGATGGACAGGGCAAAATCAAAAAACAGAGGACAAGTCTCTTGAAGATGGATTCTGGTGGAAAAGTCTTGAGCACATTACACCAGTATCGCTCCAGAGGAAGGGTTGAAGGTGTGTCTTCTTCATCCTCCACAAGCTGGTACTCGAAGAACTCATCCGTGAGCTTAGCAGAATCCTCAGGTTTGGAGCAGATGCCAAATTGTACAGCAAGGTCAACTATACTCTTTCCTGTGACCTTCAATCTTCCTGCTGGGCTGAGGAGCTGTGAAATGCCCCTCAGGACACTATCGCTCAGAGGTAGACTGTCAGCGATGGAGGTCGTAAGAGTTTTGTAGAAAGCTAAACACTCATCATGAAACACATTAATGGAATCTGCTAGCTCTTCTTCTCTGGCAGAGATGAAGTCTTCTACCACACCACCCAAACTGAGCTCAGTAGCAGGAAGGCAGAATGTTGAGTTCTCCAGGATGGCTGGGTCTCGTTCCTTCAGGTAGCGTATGACCGCTTGAGGGTGAAGAAAGCTGGAGGCATACGAACGTAGGAGTCCACTTGCTTCTCGAAGGATCTGGACAAGATCGGCACGAACTGAGCCTTTGCTTTGTTGCAGGTGCTGCTCGAAGGCACGGAGTGGTCCAAGAGCATGATCCAGAAACATCAAGGTGATCCTAACTTTAGGATTCTCCAACTGCGAACAAATTTGCTTAGCTTTATCATTATTTTCATTGCAGGAAGTGAAGTATGATACCAAATCACTCCACATTTCAAGCATCCTTTGAACGAGCACACAAAACTCCTCACAACTGTGTGAGAGGGGAGCGCTGGTGTCTTTTAATCCTTCAATGCCCGCAAACAGCATCTTGAGGTTGTCGTTGCTGGTGGAACAAGTTGAGAAGTGTTCATAGATGCTGGCAATAAGTTTCTGAACCTGACTGGAGTGAGCTTGTAGGCCAGCACTGTAGGCAGAGTTAGGTACGCTGTAAAGTCCTCCGAGATCAATCACCTGTGGGTTGAGCTCCTGAATCTGCGACACAACACTTCCTGAGGTCTGTTCCTGGTCATTAACGTAGAAAGCTACCATGTTGCCAGCAGGAAGCTCAAACTTTTGAAGGACATTGAGTAAACATCCAGATACAGAGCTACCATCTTCAGCCTGAAAGACATCAAGGAGACGGATACAATATCTTGCTCGCTTTTCCTCAAAAAAGCCCACTAGCACCACATGGCAGGAGGTCCTTTCTCTGCTTTCTGCATCAAGCAGCACCTGCCCATATATATATATACAGTAGGGATTCATCTTACAAGCAGAAGCAATATCATTTGGATAATTCAGGCCGAGGATGTAGCTTGCAGTACGTTGGGAGACCTTGTTGATCCTTGAGGGTAAACTGGAGAGGCAATGGTTTTGAATGAAAAGAAGCATGGTTTCACTACAGGAAATAGAGGTTTCAATCTTTTTTCTGCCAGATGAATTTAATCCTCCCATCTCCCGCTTCATATGCTTCTGAGTTTGTTGGTGTCGCTTCAGATCGAAAAAACCTGCGTGTAGAATGATATTGTAGTCACACAAAGTGCAGTAAGCACAGTTGTCTCCCATATGGCTGGCTCTGATCCACTTGTAGGTTCTTTCCCATTTAGAATCGTAAGTCACAGGTTGTCTCCTTCCATTCAATTCCAAGTCTTTGTCAGACTCGTCTCTTACTCTGCCTGTATAAAATGGAAAACAAGTTACATTAGTGTTGTGATGGAATATTATATTTATTTCAATGATGAACTGATTTCCCAGTACTATTGATGTATTAGGGATGTAACGGTATGAACATTTCTTATCACTATTATAGTGACCAAAATGATCACGGTTATCAGTATTATCTCGGTATTGTTAAAATGTGCTGGAGATGTTAAAAAAGTACCGACACATAAATCACTTCAAGTTTTATATTTAAAAATAAACAAACAACAAATAAAATGACTTTTTGTTTGCATAATCACTAAAACAATAACATTACCAATGATGTTCAGATTTTAAATGACAACTTGACTGACAACAGTTTAATAGCATGTTGAAATATCTAATGTAAATGTTCAAATAAAGCTTTGAAAAAGTATCATAAAAAGGTAAACCTCACATTTCAGCCTTTAAATAAAGAAAAGATATAAGTCAAAATGATAATTGATTAATAAATGATTTTATGTATTTTATCTGCTCCATAAATCATTTTAGATAACTTATCTGAATTATTTAAAAGGTGTAGAATCCACATAAGCTTGTTTTTCATTACAGCAGGGCATGCAAATTCAGTCCGTTTTTGGCGAGACAGAAACTGCACGCAGGCTGAATGTAAATACAAGTCTCTGTAAATCCACTCGCTGACACTAGGTGGCGCTTATGGAAAAACTGAATTAGAGCCGTTTCCCGTAACCTCCGTGGACAAAGCAGTATTGCGATTAAGAACACTTCGTTTAGGTATTACATGGAGCGAAGATGAAAACAAAATGCCATGGAATCGTTTCTGAAGACAGTCAGAACCTTCAGAGGTACATTCATATAATTAATTCATTCATATATTCATTTGTATAATTCCCTTAGCACTCTTTTAAAATCTCCCAGCTTTTCCGCCGTTTTCACTCAAAACGAAACTACTTTGCGTGCTGTGCGCACGTGAGACTGTTACTGAAAACTGTGCTTTATGCTGGACAGTATTTATTTATCGCGAGTTGTTCAAATCGCGGTAATCTAATACGGTTTTAATGATAATTAAAAGATGAAACGGTAATACTAACCGTGGGGAATTTTATCATGATTTATCATCAAACCGGTAATCGTTATATCCCTATGACGTATTGGGGCATATTTGAACATTTTCCCTTATTGTGGGAAAAATTAATCAAATAAAACAGTCAAATTCACCATACTAAAAAAATAAAAATAAAAACTGAATGGACAATAATGGAGGCTCACCAGATTCACGTGGATTTTTCCAGGATCTTGGAGACTTAACAGGTTCATCTACCTGTACAATATCCTGACCATTACGAGCTTCAACTGGTTTGTACTCTCTCCTTTGTCTCTCATTGGCAAAGAAAAATTTCCTGAACCATTTCAGAAAGGTGAAATTGGGTCTAAACTTTCCTGTGAGAAGCTGCTTCACAGGGACTGGCTGAAAGAGGCATCAAAATTGGGAAGAAAAAAAGTACTGTGAAGAGTTGACATAAACATCTCAAATTATACAAAATTCACATTTAAATATCTAGAGTGTAGTTTCTGTAGCACTTGTTGGACTAAACAGAATAACAACATCCTAAGAAATATAACCAAACTTACACATATCAACTTCAACATTTATATTTTTATATGCAAGAGGATTCATGAGATTAAAAGAATAGATTCAGGTTAATCTGACCTGTTTTATGCCTGATTTTCGGAAAGCTGTCTGCAGAAGACTGTAGTTCTGTTTAAAATCAGACCTCTTTTGGGACTCAAACTTTACTTTGCTCATGTCGATGGACCCTGGGAAGAGCAAGTCCATAAACTGGCAAAAACATGCACCTATAAAAAAAAAAAAGAAAAAAAAGAAAGAATTGTGTAAATTCAGTTTAAAGCTGTTGGCAATGTGTAGATAGTAACAAAAAAAATTTTCAACAGTACCTGAACGACATTGCTCCACTTGAGTAAAATTAGTCTGTAATGTTTCATTGATCCAGGACAAAACTTCATAGCGACTGCACTTGTCATCAGGGTTATTGGGGTCCAGACTAACATTCATAGCCATCTTATGCTTTCATAAGCAAAATAACAATGCATTTGAAACAGCAATTAGAAGCAATAAATCACAAACAAAGGTAATTACATTGCACATTTGGGGAAAAAAACAACAACAGTAGACCAGTTACTAGGGAACTATGCACACATACGTATATTTATGTGACATTATATATACTATGCTACATACTGTTTATGTTACTCTTTTAGTTTTAATTGAAGTAATTTAAGTTACTCTTAGATATGTACAAGATGTATAATGTGAAGTTAATCTCAGAAGCATATGAATTATATCATGTTGCATGTGAGATACGTTTTGAGGTTAATCTAAAAGGCATAATGTTTAATAAATATTTTGTATTCTGAAGTCTACTGAGCCTAATCTGGTTCATTGTTGGACTTCCTCAAAACTAAAAAGACTACAGCCTCTCTCTTGCGTCAGTGTGCAGATTGAAACAACTCCTCCCCAGTACACGAAAATCTCGCGGGGTAATTTTTGCCGCGAATACTGCACGCTTAAATGTAGCTTTCACTTCTACAGGTTTAACCGGTGACAACAGCTTGATACACCATGGATCTCAAACAATGAGCGCACGAAATCTAATGAAAGTAACAAAATAAACACGTATAAGAAACAACCCGGTGGCATGCATTTAGATATGTAGCAGTTGATTTATTGGTGGGGTGACATAATCTAATTGTATAGCATGCGATTATTTTATAATCTTGTCAGTGACCCTTACCGTCTTTTTGGACCTTTTCAAAACAATTGGATTAAGGCTAACGAAACTGAAATGTTATTTAATTTGCGTGATTTTAACTTCGCAAGTCCTCTAACCCAGATGTAATCGGCTAACATGCAGTACAAAACATGTTTGCTAATAACGACAATTTAGTAAACCCCTTTCCATTTATAAACCTTAACCGTGTTCTCATTTTATTAAGACCGGTTGCCTTTGTTAGTATGTCTTTGTGTAGCTGTAATGGTCGCTCAGATACAGAGAAACTATGGGACCGTGAAACATAAGAATGATTTCTGTTTCCGTATAATCGTAACTCTTCACAAAATATGACAAATCGAAACGTGCTTTTAAAAACATCAAATATGTCCTACCTTATTTGTACCTTGGTCCCGAGACTCGCTACTCCCCAGTCTACAATGTAATCCCCAATCTACCCCAGTGCCTTCCTTCCCCCAATATATGCATTGTGCTACAAGGATTGGCCTGTACAATCCAAAGTAGGAGGTCCTACACTGCATTAGCTAGCTAAGATTTCTCACGTACGAAATAGCGTGTTGTTTTTCGGTGACAACGGTATTTTCTCGTCAAGATACAGATGTGAAATAAGTTTGAACTGACCTACCGTGTGGCCAGTTGTTTAATTCGTAACCATTAGCGATGACTCTGAAGCCAAGAACGGGAAATCGCGATTTTTTTCATGCACAGTTTAAAAATATCAATTTAAATTAAATACATTGTTTTCTGTTAAAAACACATAAACCCTATTTTTAACATTTCGATTAAATTATACGTGAAATAATAAAAATAAATAAATAAATGTAACAAAGTTATACAAGTAGCTACTTTTTGGGTACTTTTTGAGTGTTTGGGTAGCATGTTCATTTGGACAACCTTTTTAACGCAGAACATGATTAACTTTTTACTTAATCTTATTAAATTAACTGTCAATACAAGTAATAGGGGAAGTGATGCACAGACTTATCACAAACGAAAGCCACGTGACAGACACAAATGTTGGTAAACGGTAGTTAAATAATTGAATGGATTTACATTCGTAAATTTTGGATTATTGTGTATATCAGTAGCATCAGTTATCAAACATACATTTGAGTAATTGCGTTGTTTTTTATTGTCAACCACACATAACGCTTATGGTTAAAGTGTTTAAATAACGTCACGATTGGCTCCAATATCAAACAATGCGAGGTTAGTGACACTGAAATGGCGGACGGGCGCCGCGAGTTGAACGCGTGTTGATAAGGCGCCAGAAAAAGCTTCAGGGAAGGGGCTTGTTTTTCACCGCCTAAAATGGCGGGGCAATTTGAATTGGTTCTTCTGCAGTCTATTGTAGCGATTGTGTGGTTTTGTATACTTTAAGACCGCGATTTGGTTCCATGTTTGCTAAACAAAAGCAAGGCGACCCTGTAGTTTGTAAATATCAATTTAGTCCACTGTTTGCGACCAAGCTGTTCACATTCAGCCACACATCAACACATGATTAGAGCTTTCCGTACTATTCTGGGAGACAGTTAAGCCAATCTAGGGCAAACTGCTTTTTATAATAAAAATAGTTGTGTAAACAAAGTATATTGGCGCTTGAAGAGAAATAGCCTAAATTAGTGATGTCCGGTTCGCGAACGAATCGTTCGATTTAACCGGTTCTTCTTAGTGAACCGGTTGAACCAGTTCACCAAATCGGACTGAATCGTTGAAAAGTGTAAGCATTAATCCACAAATTACTTAAGTTATTCACTTTTTAAACGTGGCTGACACTCCCTCTGATTCGAAATAAACCAATATCCCGGAGTAATTAATTTACTCAAACAGTACACTGACTGAACTGCTGTGAAGAGATGAACACGAGCAGAGCAGCATCTCTGCAGCAAGCCGTATAATGAACGTACACGCCCACTGCTGGAGCGGTTCTCGTTCTTGAGTCGACTGAAGTTATGATTACTGACTTTATATATTTGAATGTGTATTTTCATCCAGGCCTGGGACGATAGACTTGATATCATTACGTCATCGCGAATGACGTCATTACATTAGGGCGTAAAAGAACCTATTTTTTTAACCGGTTCATTGAAACGAACTGTCTGAAAGAACCGGTTCGCGGAAAAGAACCGGACTTCCCATCACTAGCCTAAATGTTTCAGAAGTGATAGAAGCAAACCCCCCCTTTGTTTTAACACAAAGTCATTAGCATGTAAATACTTAAAATATGTAAATTTAAAAAGAAAGAAGTGAGAAAAGTCGTTAAGATTTACCCAATTTGACAGAGAATTTAGTTTGGTTTGGAGACAATCCCTTTAAAACGCAATAGTATTTTTGTTTCAACATGGGTAGGTCTAATTTGTTTAAAGGCAAAGCAGCTGGACAAACAGGACAGGTAAGCCTCCACCCATGACAAACAGACCATTAATTGTTTTTATTTTCTTTCACTTACTCACTCTCTCTTTCTTTCTTTCACTCAATCTTCATCCTTTTTTACTTTTTCTTTCATGAATACATTTTGAAGCTGTTTTGTGCAATTGTGTCTTATCCCTACTGAGCTAGGGAGACAGGCTACTTGTCCAGTTTTTCAATGAAGCTTTGGCAGTGTCAAAACATTACTCTAAGCATTACAACCAGTCTAAAAGAGCAATATTGACACAATCAACACTGAGTTTGGGGCGAGGCTATCTGCCTTTCTAACCAATAGTTTGAGAAACCTGTTTGAAAACAACTGTTTTGCAGATCTGTTGTGATTACAGCTGAGGTGTGAATTACATTATGAGCATAGGCGTGGTGCACTGAGTCACTGCTGAAGCGTTGGCCTCGAGTGTGGCGTGTGACGCAGTATTCAGTTGTGAGGAAAACTGCATCAGTCCTCTACTAAGCATGTACGCAGCTTGTGACAGCTGAAGTGGATCTTGTGAAATGTGCGATCGCATCGCCGATCACTCTTGAGAAATTTAAAGATGAAGTAGCCTAGGCTACGGAAGGACAAATATCCAACCTTTTTCAGACCACAGCAGCTTGCACTCACGCTGCCCGTTGGTTCGGCTACATCAAAAATAAGTTTCTCAGTTGTGAGGAGAATAAGAAACTTGCTCTGATTAGAGCCCTGCACCGGCTGCGTGCTTATTAAGTTCATTTAGAAAAACGTTTGGAGCATTTTTTGTTCGTTAAATATAAGTTTTTGTTTTTTTTAAAGTAACGACCAAGCGGCCAGCCGCAGACAGTGAGCCTGTGTTTGATCAATTTAGCCTTCTCAAATCATCACGGCTTGACTAAAATAAAATCTATAGATATAAAACAGTTCAAGCATATAACAATGTTTAAACATTAAATCTAGATAAATGTGCGCTATATCCAATAGTTTGTGCGGAGAGTGGAAGCTGAAGCGCGCTTTGCAGGACATAGAGATGCCAGCGCGATTGCTTGCAATTTTTCAGTGGATACACCGTCATTTTTGCTCATAAAGGTAAGAGTAACATCATTCGTAACTGTAAAGAGTCTACTTTTATTTGTGTTAAATAAAACACTCCTGTTGTTTCCACCAGCGCGGCAATTTTTTAATCGCTAATTGATGGATGTCTAAAATATAAAGATAAGGAGAAGCCTAAAACAGGCCGCGTCTGAACTATGACGTGAAACTTGTCCCGAAGCCCCACCTGAGGGGCGTAAAAAAGTCGGGGCCCATGGGGCCCGGGCTGAAATGCAGGACTCTAGCTCTGATCTAGCACACAGAAAACGATTTGACTGAAAATTTATCAGAAGAGATGAAAGAAAGATAGTGGTCATCTACGCAATTCGGTAAAGAGGTGTTTTTGTTTTTTTTACTCTTTGTACTTACTCTTTGTAAGTGCTCGTGTCTCGTCTGCCAGTGGGCCCCCCCACACACACACATAAAAGTGAAACTCCGCCTATGATTATGAGATAGGAATTCAGATAGGAATTGTAATGATAAGAAACTGTCAGGGTTTAGAAAATGTTGAACCAACACTCCAAATGTACTACAGACCCCTTCTCTATTCTTTCTAAACAGCCATAACAATGAAGAGAATCTGCGGCTAACCCTCATGGTAAAACAACAGATTGGAAATGAGCAAATTAAAAAAGCTTATTACAAGAGAGAACGGGATGTAGAAGCAACATAGGCTATGTGTTTTAATGTTTGTTAAATTATTGATGTTGACTGTCCTGTGGAATACGGAAACATAAACTGAAGTGAGTTCCTTATCAGAAGTGAAAGAGGTAGTCAGCGATCCCTATCGTGCTCGCTGCTCCACAAAACAACAGTGGTCTTTATCTTCTCTCCTTCCTGTCCCCTCCAGATGTGTGCTGTCTGAAACTGAAAATAACAGTTTCACTACGACATACCTTAAACCCACACATAAATCTCTCTAATGCATATTTCACAATGTCTCTTTTGGCACACCAGAGAAAATGATGATTTAACTTATGTTTGAAGCATACTGTTTCTCTGGTAATTATTCATAGCTGTGTTTTTGAAGAACTAATTTTTGAAGAACTGAAAACCTGGGTCTTTCACGTTAAAGCAAGAGTGAAATGTCATCATTTACTCATCCTCATGTTTCTTTGACCTATGACTTCTTTTATCTGTAGAACACACAAGGAAATATTCTGAAGACTGGTTTTCTTTTGCAATACATTTAAAGCACCAAAAGGAAACTTAGTTAAAAAAAAAAAACTAGATTCATTAAAGCGATTCATAAACTGATACATTAAAAAGATTTGGCTTAAAAGAATGATTCATTCAGGAATCAGACATTGTGCAGATGTCAAATTTAAGTCAACACCAAGTGCACATCATATGAAAGGTTTAGTTTAGTTTTTTTAGGGTTTTTTTAGGTTAAGCTTCAGTTTGTTTATTGTATTTGCATCAAAAATATCTTCACAAAAAATCTCCACTTGAGCTCTATGAAAAAAAGGAAAGTAATACAAGTTTGAAATGACATAATTCTGTCTTAGAAAGTGTGTCCTCTGACATGGTCACTGTCCTTTAAGTTGTTGTTTCTTTTTGGTGACTTTTTTTAAAAGCTTTTTGTATTATGTAGTTCATTTTAAATAGTGGAGTGACAAATAACTTTTTTGAAGTACAAATATTTCAACACTTTTATTTATTTGTATTTTTTTTTTAAGTTTTAGATGGAGTGTCTCACACCGCAGTTACACAATACAGATTCAGCTGCTTTAAAAATTGCAGCAAATCGAAAAGTGTTTTCTAACAGGAATGCTCCACTCTCACCCTCAGCCATAAATGAACCTAAGATCTCAGACAGCTCATCACAACACTAACCTCGCTAGTGAGATGACAAATCCTATCTTACTCAGTGCTAGTCAAGCCTGGTCTAGACCACAGCACGGTCAGAGGGGTCAAGGTAGGCTTTGTGTTATCAAGAAGCAACGCCCTGTGTGTGACAGGAAAGAGTTA